GTATCAGGATTATTTTAAACTATCTACTTGAAAACCAGAAGTATGCTTTCTGTTGGGGATTTTGGTACTCCAAATTCCTTGGGGGCATCTAGGCCTCATTGTGTAAATTGCTTTCTATTTGTATAAATTGTTCACTGTATGAGAGCTGAGATGGTCATGACTCAGCCCAGCCGCTCCTGCTTAGAATCCCTGATTGTGCTTGGTGTACTTCCCACCCCTTACCCTCATCCCCACCGCTTCTGCAGGTGCACTGTTCTTGGTCACTTCTATACTTACGTTATTTCTGTCTATATGTAATATTAATGTAGTATCCTATTTTGCCTGACTGCTTATTTCAGCATTTTCCAAATTAGAGGGAAAACCCCTTGAGGACATGGCTTCTTTCTGTTTACCCAACTCTGAAGAGCACTTAGCACCAAGCTAAATCTTGCCAATTAGTACTCACTCTAATGGTAAGGTGCTGGTGGTAATTGCAACACATTTACAGGCTATAGTTTGCTTACTCAGCGTTTGAAAAGGATACCCAATTACTTCCAGCTTCTGAGAAGGAAAACATTTAAGTGTACTCAGTTTGTCTTATAAGCAAAACCCTTTGGGCTTTTTGCTTACCAAAGTGAATTATTATAGAATTAGAATGATAGAACTTTAACATTGGGATAACGCTGCTGACATGCCTCCTGAAGGCTGCATAAGCAGTTTATGTAGCTCTGCTAATACACTACTGAAATAGAGCCAGTGACCCTGTGTCCATCCCAAAAGAGAAAGTCAAGGGTAGGTGTGTTCCCCGAGAGCCATTCATTTCCTGAAGTCACCCTCTATTTTCAGCTATCATTTCTTGCCTTAAACATCAGAAAACTGTAGTATAAGGTACAGTTGAGTGGAATTCTGTTTGATTTTGGAGGTTTTTAATTTTATCTTATTTATTTATTTATTTATTGAGAGGCAGAGAGAGAGAGAGAGAGAGAGAGGTCTTCCATCTGCTGGTTCACTCCTCAAATGGCCACAATGGCCTGAGCTGGGCCAATCCGAAACCAGGAGTCAGGAGCTTCCTCCAGGAAATTCCTGGACCATCTTCCATTGCTTTCCTAGGCCATAGCAGAGAGCTGGAGAAACTCAGAAGTGGAGCAGACTAGAACCGGTGCCTGTATGGGATGCCCGCACTGCAGGCAGTAGCTTTACCTGCTATGCCACATCTCTGGCCTCAGAGCTGCTTATTCAAGCATGATTTGCAGAATAGAAATTCCTATAACATGCTTGTTGTAAGTTCAGCTCATACCAAATTAATCTCAATTAATTTCTCATGTAATTAAATACATGGACAGAAAGGATGTAAAAAAGCAGGAATGTTTTGGGAGATGAGTGGAATGTCCATTTTCAAGCCTTTATGTGAAAGATTTAGCATGACAAACTTTATTGGGTTTAAGTGGAGAAAGGGGAGGGAGGACAAGGATAGAGGGTAAGTCCCAAAGAAACCGTTCAGCTGGTTTGAAAGAACCTAACGCTGCCTTTCTGTGTTTGATAGAAAAAGCCACGTTGAAGCATAGCCAATGAGTTCCATTTACTGTGACTTACCTAATTAATTTAGTATGCTCTTGTCACAGCCCCTTCATTTAGTTCCTTTCAGGATGCCTGGGTTTTTGAATTCTGGTTGCAGCAGACTTGAGCTTTAGTCATTAAGTGGAGTCCAATCAATGCTTTGTCTTTTCCCTTATCTGCAGAGCAGGCAGGCACACTCTCCTGGTGAGCAGTGCGGAAGGGGTGAAGGGTTCATGAGAAATGCACGGTTATGAAACACGTTAGGTGATCCTGGAGCCGCCAGAGACTCTGAGCTGGCTCCTCAGCAAGTGCCTTCAGCTCTGCTCAGAGCCTGGCTGACTCATGTCTAGTCCTGAACCTGCTGGACATAGAGTGCATATGCCCTGTTCAGGGCATTTACAGTCATCTTTCCATACTTTGTAAACTTACAAAAAATTACCCTTCACTAATGAGAGGTGTGACTTGTATATGGCATTTAATGGAAGTTTAATTCTCTGAAAATGATCAGGGACCAACTGTGTACTAAGTATTCTTCACACTGAGACTCAATGAAAGATAAAACAAGTTTTCTTTTCTTTTTTTTAAATGCACTGTCAAATTCAAGATGAGTGCACTTACTCCAGTGTTGTGAAAAGGAACAAGGGTCAGAGTCAGAGCTTGCATTTGAATCTTTGATCTCATATACAGAGTTGATGGGAAACTAGCATTAACAGATAAACTTGTTGGGGATGGTGCTGTGGTGTAGTAGGTTATGCCTCTGCCTGCGGAGCCAGCATCCCATATGGACACCAGTTTGAGACTCAGCTGCTCCACTTCTGATACAGCTCCCTGATAGTGGCCTGGGGAAGTACAGGATGATGGCCCCAAGTGCATGGGCCTCTGCCTCGACATGGGAGACCTAGACGAAGCTCCTGGCTCCTGGTTTCAGTCTCTGAGCTCTGCAATCTACTCAGCCAGTTTCTGTTATTTCACAGGGATAAATATGACTCTTCTGCTGTGAAGACACAGCCCATGAGAACAAAGTCAGATACTTTTCAGTAACGGTTGACCAGTTTGGATTTTAAGTCCTGAAGCACATACTGCACTGGCCAGAGTTACAATTTATTGAGTTCCTTGTGTTGTGACCTTATATTGAGAGACAGATGTTGTTTGCCATCACAAAAGGGAACACAGGTTGTGTCATTACTGGTTGTAGGATCTTTAAATATTGAGATAGAGTTTTATTATTAAAAAACATAGTTTTTCTTTATATCTTAATATCTCTGATTATCACTTGTCATATAAAGTAGGAAATAAAAACTGACTTCTAGATAGCTCATCAGTTCATTTTTCAGAGGATTTTGTGAGCTAGACTGTCACTAAATCCCCATGGCTCTGATCCTGTAGTGTAGTGACAGTCTTTTATATAAGACTTTACGACCAGGAGAAGCACCTGGCTCTTGGCTTCGGATCAGCATGGTGCACTGGCTGCAGCAGCCATTGGAGGGTGAACCAACGGTAAAGGAAGACCTTTCTCTCTGTCTATCTCTCACTGTCCACTCTGCCTGTCAAAAAAAAAAAAAAAAAAAAAAAAGACTTTATGCACAGACACAGTGATGGCACTAGAAACATTGCATACTTGTGAATTATTATTTAAAAACTGTGCTCAGGACAGGCAATTTGAAGTACTAATTAGGAACAGTGTGCTCATCTTTTTTTTTTTTTAAAGCAAAGCTTTATAGAAGTGTAATTTAAATACTATAAAATTCATTCTAATTGACTTTAAACTAAGGGAAAATACCAGTAGATGTTTTACTAGAAACTGTTTGTCTTATAAATTATTAAATAATATATTTTCAGTATGATGATCTTTTCAACATTAGTAAGATGATCCTTAGCATTTCTAAATCTGTACTTAAGCACGACCAGAGAAGACTGGGAAGAATGTTGGGCATCCTTGTGTTGGAGAAATGCAAGCTTATATGGGATAAACAAATGCTTGAGCATACTGCCCAATTGTCAGTGTTGTCAAATACCAAAAAATTCCATTATGGAGAAAGCAGTAATCAAATTAAAAAGAATTGCCAGGGAAACATCTTTTAGGGTATAGGGAGAAAAGAATTGTCCTCATTGATGAAAACCTTGCTTTTGTTTGTGTTGTTTTTTTGATTCCTTTTAAAGCTGATTTATTTAATGTGGATTTTTTGGTTTTGGTTTTTGTTTTTGGTAAAATAAAGCACACATACAGAAAAGGTTGTGAAACCTAAGAATCACTGTGATGAGTAGTAGGATGCCAGCACCTGTGTGACTACTGCTCAAGTCAAGAAGCGGGGCATTGCTGGCCACTTGGGACTCATTGTACTTCCCTCCTTGGATACAACCTTCTCCCCACCTCAATCTTTTACACTTAAAGTTGATCATCTCTAGGTACACACACACTATAAGATTATATACACAGATACTGTACATATATATGTATAATCTTACTACTTGAGTGTGTGTATCTCTAACCACTAAAGTTTAATTTTGTTTGGTTTGAAAGTTCATATACATGAGATAATGTGTTTGTTTTGGCTCAACATCAGGCTTGTAAGACCCTTCATAGGAGCAGTGGTACACTATTGTCATTGTAATATAATATGCCATTATTGGAATGTAGTCCAGGTACTTACTCATTTGAAAGTTAATGGGTATTTGGTTTTCACCCGAGTTCATATACTGTTATGGTTCTGCCTTGGACATTGTGGTCTATAAAACCCAATAAATGTGTGCATGATTTTCTCAAAGTGTGGTTCCTTTATTGGCAGCATCAGCATAGAACTTGTTAGAAAGAACTTCTGGGGCCCTACCCCAGATCCTCATTCAGATATCACCTTGGGATATACATCAAGTATTGTGCTCACTCCAGTGACAGCGCCTTTGCTTAAGCTGTTTTTGGATTTTCTAATTTGGAACTGCTTTAGGAATCCACTATTGATAACAGCAATGTATGTGAACACACATAAATACATAGACACTCCTGCCTTCCAATCTCTTAGCAATAGTCGATCTAGTGTGAGTCACATTTTGGCTCTTTTCAAAGATAAACTAAATATCCAATAGTTGAAGATTTGCCAACATTGAAGACAGTCAGAAGAATATGCAGGAAAGACCTGGTCAAAAAAAATCTGAAACAGATTGAGCAAAACATCATTCCCAGAAGCTGCAGGGAAAACAGCTGGACTAACATGAGTTCAGATCTATGTGTCCTGTTCACTGGCTGTGTCATCATCAAAGAGAAGTGTATTCCATGTCTCTGAGCTTTGGTTCTCCTGTGCAAAGAGAAGATTATATACTCTATTATAAAAGATTAGAAACAATTAGTACATAATGATCATCTGTGGGGTCATGTTCCTACATGGATGCATTTGGTCATGGATCCGTAATGTTTATCTGTTTGATCTGTTTCATATCTTTCATGATTTTTACTTGTGTGCTTCCTGCAGGAACGATTCCAGGTGAAGAATCCTCCTCATACATACATTCAGAAACTCAAAGGCTACCTGGACCCAGCTGTAACCAGGAAGGTAAGATGGATGTGTTCCCACTCTTTGTTGTTGCCTCCTCACAAGCCGGCAGAGCCTCTGCACTGGAAGAGATCTTCTTTCCTCTACATTGGTTTCTGCCTTGGCCTCCAGGAAAACAACCATTGCAAACTGACTACATAAGAAGTCAAAGGAAAAATCCTCCTGACTGGAGGATGTGTTTACAAGTACTTTGCTGAAATGGGAGTCACGTACCTCAGTTGGTTATTGAGTCTCTGCTATTTCCAGTTACAACAGTGCAGGGAGTCCAGTGCAGAGGCGGTGAGGCCCCTAGGGAAGCAGGCCGCGCAGAGGAGGCCGCACAGAGGAATACTTGCCTTTCATGCCTGTGTGCATTTCCAGAGACCTTGAAAAATCACTGGGGCTTTGTCATCCCAGCTGTGCACGGACTTCCTGTGTTGATGCTTTAAGCAGCTTCCCCACCCAGAGCCCTCCCCTGGCCCTAAGAAGGTAAGGAGAGAAGAGCTGATTCCATTCTCGACTGACTCCCTGCTTTTACAAACAAGCCCTGCTTTGTGCAGCCACACAATTGACTTAAGCTGATGCCTCGTGGTAAAGGATGTAGCCTGGTACAGCCCTGCGGCCCTGGGTCAGTCCTGGGATGTTTCAGAGCAGCGCTGTTCCTGCTACGGATGGGTGAAGGGGCGCTCCTCCACATAACACTTGTTTTTCCACTGATCTTCCACAACTCCTGCTTTCAAGGTCCCAGCGAAAATATCTCAAGCTGAAGTCACTCTGTTGTTTAGATGTCTGACTCATGAGAAAAGAAAGGCACACTTTTCTTGGTTAGCCACTGTCCCTAGGGCTCTTGATGCTTGTATATTTTTAAAAATTGCCTTCTCTTTTTCATTTTTCTATTCTGTCTCCTCTCTCTCCCTCCTCCAAAGTAAAGCAAAGTAGAGCAGCAGTTACTTGCTTTTGGAAGTTTCCTGGGCTCTTACTGCATGCTTCACATGCAGACAAGGTGAAGTAGAATCTAGAAATGCTGAAAATGTCCAGACTTCTCATGCTGGCTCCATGTCTAATGAGACTCAGGTGTGTTGCAGCCCTGTCCTATAGGAATTTACCTGTCAAAGTAGCATAATACTTCTTCCCCTCAAAAACACAGCATCCACACTTGATAAGGAAGATCTGTTTTGGCCAGTATGTGGTGCAGTGGCTTAAGCTACTGCTTGCAACTCTAGCATCCCGTATTGGAGTCTTGGCTACTCTGATTCCCACTAAGGCACCTCAAAAAGCAGTGTAAGCTGGCCCAAGCACTTGGGCCCCTGCAAACCATGTAGGAGATTGGGTAGACCTCTTGGTTTCAGCCTAGTCCAGCTCTGCTGGCTGTTCTGACCATCTGGGGAGTGAATCAGCAGATGGAAGATTTTTTTTCTGTCTCCTCCTCCCCACCCCCACCCCCTGGCCGTTTACATAAATAAATCAATCATTTAAAAAAATGGTGTGTTGTCAGGTCCCCCAAATGCTTAATTCTTGTTAGTTTCTTTGCTTTTTGCCTTTAAGCGTACAACAGCTGGAGCTGATATTGTGGTGCTGTGCGTTAAGCTGCCGCCTGCAATGCTGGCATCCCGAATGAGTGCCAATTCATTTTCCTGGCTGTTCTGCTTCTGATCCAGCTCCATGCTAATATGCCTGTAACAGCAAAGGAAGATGGTCCAAGTCCTTGGGTGCCTGCACCCATGTGGCAGAGCTGGATAAAGCTCCTGGCTTGGGCCTTTCCCAGTCCTGACCATTGTGACCATTTGGGGAATGAACCAGCAGATGAAAGTTTGATATTCTCTCTCTTTCTTTCTTTCTTTCTGTAACTCTTGGCTTTCAAATTAAATAAATATTTTTAGAAAAGAGAATATAGTAGTCTTAATTTGATCAAATTAGGGATGGTTACAAAGGAAGACACCCCCATACAAACAAAATACACGCCTCTCCCCCAGAGCAGTTGTTTTTCTGCACTATTTACTTGCCTAGGGCAACAAGATCCTTTTTAGTATGGAGTTCTACACTAGACTAGGCTTCTAACATGCAAGCCGGATGGCTCAGACCCCACCCAGCATTAAACACCCTCGTCCCCAGCTAAGTGGACAGAAATTCCAGTGTTTGTACACACGACTGAGATCTGCTCTTACTCAGAGTCCATTCTAACCCTAAAAAATTTTCTCTACATTTTTCAAATTCTAAAAATGGCGGGGGTGGGGGTGGGGTGGGGTGAGAGAGAGATATATAAACTCCCAGAGAGTGCTGCTGAGCCTCTAAGCCCCATGGCCCACAAGAAGGAAGATGCTTAGAACGGAGCCAGGAGCTTCCTCCCTACACAGTTCCGCTTCTCCTTGAGATCCGTTATTCCAGGTTCAGTAAGACAAAACAACACTAACAAACTGGTTTCTCGGAAAGCATTTTGTTTTCTCGCCAATTGCTGAATAAAAAAGGAGGAGGACCTAAGATGTGTGTCTGGGCCTTCACTGCCCAGTGCTCTGCCCTGGCCCACGTGCTCCCCTGTACAGCCCTGTTTGCTCTGCGCCTCATGAGCTCTGTCTTTCAGCTCAGCAAGAAGTGACAAAGGTGTTGGTGAAGCACCCCTGCCTTAGGCAGGTTTCTGTCAGCAGGTGGCAAGGGGCGGTGATCTGCTGCACACAACGTAATTATGTCACTTAGAGCCTGGAAAGCCGGGATTTGTTGGGAATAAGGCGTGGCTTGCAGTTAGAAGGAGCTTAGACTCCTCGGCTGTGATATGGTGCAGGGAAGGGGGTTGGATTTCCCGTCCGGGCTTCACAGTTGGCCAGACCAGGCTGAGCAGGCCCTTTAACTACGTCTGGAGTCCTTGGACGTTCCGTTCATTCATCTGTTGTCTAGATTGAATGGAAGATGCTTAACTTGCTCCTTTAAAAAAAATGTCTTAAGCATTTTCTATGTCGATTTTCTTCTCAATCATTTTAAATGAAACCCTCCAGGGCAGGGAAGGAAGCACCTCAATTAGATCTCTCTGTGACCAGAAGCAGCAAGCAGCTCGTTTCGGACCAGCCGTTGGTTGTCTGTGGCTTTGGCTGCAGATCAGGAAGAAGGGAGGCTGGTCCTTCACTGGAACCGCAGTTGTGGAAATGAAACTCACCGCGCAGCTTGTCCCCCGCTCAGCGGCCTCCGCGGCCCCTCCTTGTATGGAGGGACGAGAGTAGGGTCCAGACTGCTAATGGATCCTACCTGGCTGCCTTCTGCTGCTCTCTACAGGCACACGATTGCCTTTGAAGTGTGCAGAGGATTCTGGATACGTTTTAGCAGTGCACAGTGTTGGCACTCCTTGTTAATGTGTTAGAGAGGTGGTTGCCAAGGCTTCTCCGTAGTCCACAGTTCAGCTACAAATGGAGCCTTTCCAAAGATGATAGAATACAGGGCACAGGCAGTTGAGTTTGACCTCAGTTATAGAAGGGGTAGTGCCTGGCTTAGTTAGTGCCTAGTAAGTGTCAGCTGCTGAGGTTACTGTTACCACAGAGGGTTTCGATTTCCTTGTCTTGTTGTGACACGTATCTCTTGGTGTCTCAGCCAGTCCTTGTCTACTCTCTATCCTCAGTTCTACGCTGAGTGCCTTCTGGCTGATGGCATACACAGGAGACCACCTTGACCCTGGAGAGCCTAAGGTAGACTTAGGGGACCAGCTAAGCCCAGGGCTGTAGGGAATGCTGCAGAAATGCACGTGACATGCAGCCTGGGACACTGAGTTAGTTTCTAAAGGTCTCTTGCGCAGACAGCCTGACTGATGTGGGAGAGGCCGCTGTGGAGCAGCTGGCACACCTAGAAGTGGCTGCCTGTCGTGTGACCACGGGTCCTGCTTTCCTTTATGGCAAATGCAGGATTGAGTATTTTGTCTTCTTCCTCTGCCCTTCTTTATCCAAGCTGCAGAACTGCCCACACTTGGCCCTTGAATTCATCTCGGCAGAGCACCCTTTAGTGCTCATCCTGCTCTGCCTCCCTTTTATGCCATGAGCTGCCCTGGGTGTCATCTTTGCCGAGAGGGGATCCAGGAAACTCTGGGCTTGGATGTCTTGGCAAACTATCCATGACCCCCCATTCCTTAGGCCTTTAAGTATAAAAATACATTGAGAGACAGACAGACAGATAGCACCCACCTGCTGAATCATGTCTCAAATGCCCATAATGGGCAGGGCTGAAGTTGGGAGCTGGGCACTCAGTCCAGGTGGCAGGAGCCCAGTTACTGGAGCCACCACTGCTGCCTCCCAGTATTTGCATTAGTAGGAAGCTGAAGTCAGGAGTCAGACCTGGGAAACAAACCCAGGTACTGTGATGTGGGACACAGGCATCCTAGTGAGCATTTTTACTGCTAGGCTAAGCAACTGTGTCCTTTTGGCTATTTTTGATAGAAGATGGGAATGAGCCATTCTCTTTTTACAACATATTAGGGATATCTCTCTTTCTTATATCCCACTATACCTGGAATTAGAAAGCTGAAGACATCTTTTCAGTGTGCTTTGTGAATAACAGTTATGAAAAAATAGTGAGGAAGTCAAGGTCTTGCACAGGAGGAGGAGAGAAATGATGGGAGCCTATCTGTGCCAACACCATTCCAGGCCTTCCTTGGGCTGACTCATATTCTGGAATCCTCATTGCTAGTCTCCTTCCTGCCCTTGGACACCTTTCTCCCAAGCCATGGGAGCCATTAGCAGAGGTTTGGAGCCAGATGACTGTGTTTCTGTTGTAACCATGGCAGCAGGGGAGTCAGATCCTTCTCCTGAGAAAAATGCTCCAAGCTTTTTCTTGTCAATGACAGCTCTGATCTGTAGTGCAGAGAGCCTAGGACTCCTCATAGAAGGTGCTGCCTGTTGAATTCCTTCTTCCAGAGTAGCCTGATCATAGCCACTGCAGGAGAGTGTTTCTGTAGGAAGGTTTGTTCCGGTACACTGATATATGCTCCCACCCCACCCTCCACCCCCGGGTAGCATGCATGTTATTAAGAGTCCAGAGAATAGAGAGATGTAGACATTTACTATCAGAGAAGAATTTAGTAAAGAAGGAAGACCTTGAGGGAGTCTTGGAAGCACAGGTAGAATTTTGATGTTCCAGAAGAAGGACCTTCCAGGTGGTGATTTGGGGCAGAGGTAACTCTGAATGTTGATTTTTGGAGCGTGTTAGGTCATGAGGAAAAGAGTTAATGTAGCAATCCCGAGACTGCTATCATTAGCAAGGCCTCCCTTCAAGGTTAGTCCTTGACTGGCTTCTGAGAACTTGTATTTTGGGAAGATTCCCACTCCTCCCTGATAAGAATGGCTCACTTTGCCTAAACCATTGATGAAAACACTATGGTTAATGCTAAATCTCTGTTTTCCTCCTGGGAGTCAGGAATTAGTATTATCTTTTATTTGAAAGGCAGAGACACAGAGAGGGATACACAGACATGGAGAGATCTTCCCATGTGCTGGTTCATTCTCTAGATGCCCATAACAGCTGGGACTGGGCTGGGCCAGGCTGAATCTAGGAGCTGGCAACTCAGTCCGGGTCTCCCATGTGGGTGGCAGGGACCCAGGTACTTGAGCCATCACTACTGGCTCCCAGGATGTGCATTAGCACAAAGCTGGAGGAGGAAGCAGAGCCTGGATGTAAACATAGGCACTCCAGAATGGGATGCAGGCGTCCCAAGCGGCAACCTACCCACTATACCAAATGCCTGCCCCTGGAATGCGATAGGGGCCTGTGAGACTAGTCCCCAACAGGGACCCTGGGTACTGAGTCTCTGATGAGCTTATGCACATCGTCACTGTCATTTGTTGATGTCTTGGCGAGGGGACTCTTGGAAGCTGGTTTCCGTATTTCATCCCATGCACATTTTCTCTGTGAATCTAGCTTTATGTTCTTCTAGCAATGAGTGTGACTATCTGCTATGTCCCATAAGTCCTCCCAGAGAATCTTTGAGACTGGGGGCATCCTTGGGGTCCTTGACTCATAGGTGTATTGGTGAATATTGTTGGGTATGTAGGGCTGGAGACAGTAATCTGCTTACTTCAAGATTCTCATTACATGAATAAGTAATTTTCCTGTTCCCTTCTGACAAGCTAATTTTCAGTATAAGAAAAATTTGCACAACTGACAGATGGGAGAAATTATTTACAAATAATGCAACTGATAAAGGATTAATAACCAGAATATACGAAGAGATCAAGAAACTCCACAACAACCAAGCAACCCAGTGAAGAAATAGGCCAAGGACTTAAACAGATATTTTTCAAAAGAGGAAGTCCAAATGGCCAACAAACACATGAAAAAGTGCTCAGGATCACTAGCTGTCAGGGAAATGCAAATCAAAATCACAGTGAGGTTCCACCTCACCCCAATTAGAATGGCTTTCATACAGAAATCAAACAGCAAATGCTGGTGAGGATGTGGGGAAAAAGGTACACTAATCCTCTGTTGGTGGGAATGTAAACTGGTGAAATCACTATGGAAGTCAATTTGGAGATACCTCAGTAATCTGAATATAGCCCTACCATATGACCCAGCCATCCTACTCCTGGGAATTTACCCAAGGGAAATAAAATCTGCAAATAAAAGAGTTATCTGTACCCTCATGTTTATTGCAGCTCAACTCACAATAGCTAAGACATGGAGTCAACCTAAATCCTCATCAACTGAAGACTGAATCAAGAAATTATGGGATATGTACTCCATGGAATATTACACAGTGGTTAAAAAAATGAAATCTGGTCCTTTGCAACAAGATGGATGAATATGGAAAACATCATACTTAGTGAAATAAGCCAGTCCCCAAAGGACAGATACCATATGTTCTCCTTGATTTGTGATAACCAACAGAGCACCTACAAGGAAATCTGTAGAAGTGAAATTGACACTTTGAGAAGCAATGACTTACTTGAACAGCCCTTGTTTTTTTTTTTTTTTTTTATCTTTTATTTAATGAATATAAATTTCCAAAGTACGACTCATGGGTTACAATGGCTTTCCCCCCCATACCGTCCCTCCCACCCACGACCCTCCCCTTTCCCACTCCCTCTCCCCTTCCATTCACATCAAGATTCATTTTCGATTATCTTAATATACAGAAGATCAGCTTAGTATACCTTAAGTAAGGATTCAACAGTTTGTTGAACAGCCCTTGTCTCGATTGTCAAGGAACATTTTTTTTTTCTTAAGGGAGAATGGAACTGGGAATGGGAGGGGGAGGAGGAAGTTGGGTGGGAGTGGGAGTGGAAGGGCGGGTATGGTGGAAAGAATCACTATATTCCTAAAATTGTACTTATGAAATTTGTACTCACTGAATAAAAGGTTTCTTTGGGAGGTGGGGGGAGAAAAGAAAAATTTGCACAAAAGAGAACTGTGAAAGAATCCCACTTTAGAAGTGATGATATTTTCATATGGTGTTAAACTTAAATAATAAGCTACAGTTATAGCAATTGCCAAAATGTTCTATGAGAATGTATGTTCTTGTGTTACAGAAATTTAGACGGCGTGTTCAAGAGTCTACACAAGTGCTAAGAGAACTGGAAATTTCTTTAAGAACCAACCACATAGGGTAAGTGTATCCCTTTAACATCTTAACTGTAAGGCTTTTAGAAACTTCATAAACGAATCATTTCCGAAAAGTTGAGCTTTCTTATTGCCCATTGTAAGAAGCTGAGGTTTAGATGGGTAGAAACTTTGTTAGTTCTTGGATCACTCACCTGTATAAGAATCATTAGAGGGCAGCCATGGATTAGCCGCACAGTGGATTAAGCCACTGCCTGCGACACCGGCATCCCATATGGGCACCAGTTCAAGTCCCTGCTGCTGCACTTTCAATCCAGCTCCCTGCTAAAGTGCCTGGGAAAGCAGCAAAGATGGCCCAAGTGCTCAGGCCCCTTCCTGCCATGTGGAAGTCCTGGATGAAGCTTCTGGCTTGTGGCTTCAGCCTGACCCAGCCCTGGCTGTTGTGGCTCCTGGAAGATCTGTCTCTTCCTCTGTAACTCTGCTTTTCAAAAAAATAAGTCAATCTTTTTGTTTGTTTTTAAAGAATCCTTAGAGGCAGGGCAGATGATTTTTGACTTGAGGCATTTTTATCACTTTTATGTTTTCTTGATACAATTCTATGTAAGCAGTTCATAGTGAGTGCTTGCTTTGATGTGCATGTAACAACTCTGGTAAAACAAGAGCCCTTATGAGTGGCTGTGGACAAAGATCCTTGGAGATGTATAAACTTCACTGTAGTTATTCAAGTTGGTTAGTTGGAGCTTCTCCACCCGCGCACCTCTGCCCTCCCCCCACCAACCCCATGCTCAATTTCATGGAGTTTCGGGCCAGAACTGGCAGATGCTGGAGTAATGTCACATGACTCACCTTGTTACACTTGAACATGGTGTAATAAACTTTGGCCGATCTCTGCAAACAAGCATTTCTGAGAAGTGTCTTTCATGCCATAGCATGGTTGGTTTACCCTGGACATGTAAACTCTATTTCAGGCTTCCCTACCTTTGGGTGACATAATTGTCCAGTACCTTAAAATAGAAGGCTTATCTCCAAAGCAAAATGATACCAGGTATCCAATTTTACATCATGAGTTCCACCCAAAGTACCTGTTTAACACTGAGCAAATTCTTTAAGTCCTCTGGGTATTGATTCTTTGAACTTTATGATGACAGGGCTATAGGCTTTTAGAATTTTCCCATGTGACTTTCTTTGCAGGCCTATTGGAAATGAAAATTTCATGTGTATATTGCCCATGGTTTTACAGCATATTATAAAATAGGTATATCATATAAATAGCAGTTCTGCTTTAGACTATGACTAAGGTAAAGTGGGTGGGGATCCTTTTTTATTTTTCTGCCAAGGGCCATTTGGATATTTATAACATCATTCACAGTCCTTACAAAATTATCAACTTGAATTTTGAGTCCTGCCTGTAGTTGCATTGGCAGGGCCAGACCAAATGATTTAATGGGTTTTATGTGGCCTGCAGGTCAGGCCTTCCCCACCCCTGAAACCATTCCAATGGTTAACTAGCACAGTTACTTCAGAATTAGCTTTCTTAAATTGTAGGAATGCTTTTAATTTATAAGTGAAGGAACTTGGGTGAATGTTCATTTCTTTAAGGCATGTTGGTCACCTTGAGAATGAATTATGAATAATGAAAAATGAAGTGATTCTAGCCTTTGTCTTAAAAAAACGGACAACAGAGCAGTGAGTTACAGAATCAAGATTTTGGAATGGGAAGAAAAATTAAAGATTGCCTAATACCTCATTTTACAGATGGAAGGAATTAAGGGCCAGAGAAGGTGAGTGAATTGTACAAATTCTGCAGCCAGGAAGAGCCAGGTGCTTTTGCTCAACACACTCTGTTCTCTTTACTATGTAGCTTACCCTGGCAGCTCTTTCCCTGAAAGGAATTAAGATAATCAGGTTCTGGGATCAAAGCATTGAGGCTTGTCTATTGGGGGTGAAGGTAGTGGTAATTTAATGCAGTTGGGCATCCAAACTTAGGAAACTTAAATACTTTCCAGAATTTATGGCTCAGGAACTAGATTCTGTTTGGTATGGCCGAGCTCTGCGCCTTTGGCCCTTCTTTAACTGAAAATGGTGGGATGAGTTACAGCCAGGATTTCTACAAATTGTCAAAAAACATTTATTGAAGCATTGCTAAAATAATGTGAAATTGACCATCAAATACCAAAGCAAGACAATCATTTCCAATACAAAGTTGGCTGAATAGAAAAGCCTTGGCTGGGTTGAAGCCAGTGCAATCTGCAAGCAATTGGAGTGGTTTGTTGTTGAGGATACTATAGGCGTGCTGAAAGATTCTTACATTTCTTTCATCTTCATTTTCCCTTGCCTACCATCTCTGTGAGACACACTTTGGTTTTAGCAGCAGAAATATTTATGGAGATGCATTGTCTGGTTGTTTGCAACCAGTTACTGTCATAAAGTTATATGGATGAAACCACACACCAAGTTTTTGATCTTTCCTATCCTGAAAATTCAACCTTGAGCTGAACTCTTCGTGTAAACTAACTGGCTTCACCTTAATTGATTGGGAACTTTTCTAAAGAATTGCCTGAAAGTGATAAAAATAATCAATTATTATAGTGAGCCATTCCTGCAATGTAAGGTGCTGTATAAGAGATTCATAGATTTTATTGTACTCTTTACGGTACCCATTATATGAAGATGATTGGGTGCCCATTTACCTCATGGACAAAGAGATCTTGACTCATATTTTTACTATGCTCCCTTCTTTGGTCTTAGGTAATAATATTGCATAAGGCTTTATTCTTACCAAGTGCAACAAATTCTTATCTGTGAAATGAAGATAATATTTCATAGAGATATTGTAAGAATTAAATGGAACTAATAAAGGAACTTAAACTTAGTAGTTATTTAATGTGAGGTAGGTTTTTTTATGATCATTGCAAATGATATCTGCTAATAATCCATTACTCTATAATACATACCTAAGGAATTCCATGTAGAGAATGTTACTTCCTCTAATATGATCCTGACACATAGCAGATTGTGATTCCTGGAAATTAAAAGGAGGGATTACATAAAATCTACTTGTCTTGAAAAAGTTATTGGCACATGCTTGCTTTTCAAGGTTAACATCTTGGGCTTTTTTGAGATAACATTCTAATGTGCAGTTTTGTAAAGCAAATTTTGATATAAGCAAATTTTGAATTTTGATATAAGCCTAAAACTTGATAAATGGAGTGGTCTTTTGAAAAAGAAAATTAATTTTCTTTGAGCCAAGTTGAAATAAGAGTTGGACTAGACATAATCCCATTTAGGTTCTCTTAGGAACTATAATAATAGAGAGGAATTGGATTATGACTTATCCAAGTGCTTGAAATTACTTGGAATACCCTTGAAATGAACCAAGTATCATTACATCTGTTGGCCGTGCATTGTGAACAGATGGATGTTATGATGCTTGGGAAGTCAGTGCAGTAGGATTCAAGTGATGGTGGAGGTGAACAGGATGGACTGACTGGCTTTCTTCTGTGGACCTGAGCTGTAGGCTGTCCCTCCTTGGAGGTCATTTATTTTAGTAAAACTGCCTATAATGGTGGAAAATTACTTTTCATCCTGAAAAGTTTCAGGTCACAGAAATTCTCCAAGAGACTCCTTTCACTTTATCTCTTTGGGGAATTGAGAGAACAGCATTGGCTTGCAAGAGGAATATGGGGGAGTGGGAGGAGTTTTGTCAAAAAAGGAAGAAGCTGAGGAACACTTAATAAATGACTTCTCTCTAGGGTGTTCAGGTTCTTTGTGAACTGTCTGGACCATGTCAAAAGAGGAAAGATAGAAGAATGGCTAAGCTGCTTTTCAGATGTGTACAGCGTGTGCAGGTGTATGTGGTTATACCAAGTTCCCTACCTTTGCTCCAGTTCACTCCTGCATGTTGCTTTGGGGAAATCATCAAGATAGTAATCATTTTGTCATTTATTTACTAAGCATTGGAAAGGATCTTCAAAACACTGATTATGAAAAAACTGCATGAATTTAAAAAATTTTTTGCACCCCAGCAAAGCCAGACTTCTTATAGTATGTCTGAATAGAATTTAGTTTGAGGCTCTAAAAAGGATCAGACATTAATTTGAAAAGTTCCCCTATCAGAGCCGGTGTCGCAGCTCACTAGGCTAATCCTCCGCCTGCGGCGCTGGCACACCAGGTTCTAGCCCTGGTCGGGATGCCGAATTCTGTCCTGGTTGCTCCTCTTCCAGTCCAGCTCTCTGCTGTGGCCTGGGAGTGCAGTGGAGGATGGCCCAAGTCCTTGGGCCCTGCACCCCGCAAGGGAGACTAGGAGAAACACCTGGCTCCTGGCTACGTACGGATCAGTGCGGCGCGCCGGCCACAGGGTCCATTGGGGGTGAACCAATGGAAAAAGGAAGACCTTTCTCTCTGTCTCTCTCTCTCACTGTCCACTTTGCCTGTCAAAAACAAACAAACAAACAAACAAAAACTTCCCCTGTCAGCGCAATGCGAACTCTGATAAAACTGAAGCAGAAACTTGGGTGGAAGAATGATGAAATCCTGCTCTTTCCTATGCTTGCAGATATCTTTATTGTTTAATTAATTGAAGGTAGTAGGATTCTCCTGAGTCAACGCATGATCATAGGTTGTTTTGCATGATATGTATGAAGAAAATCTGGTCTTATAGATGTCCTTGGAAAAATGAGTTTTAAATGGCCATTTCTGATAATTGTGAATTACCATGTAGTAGTTAATTCTTAAAGGTGGTTGTAATATCTGAAGCCATATTGGTCAATTATATCCTGTTACATTAAAATCTTTTATATTTTCTTGGATTCTTTTTTTTTTTTTTTTTTTTTTTTTTTTTGACAGGCAGAGTGGACAGAGAGAAAGGTCTTCCTATTCCATTGGTTCCCTCCCCAATGGCTGCTGCGGCCGGCACACTACGCTGATCCGAAGGCAGGAGCCAGGTGCTTCTCCTGATCTCCCACACGGGTGCAGGGCCCAAGGACTTGGGCCATCCTCCTCTGCCCTCCCAGGGGCCACAGCAGAGAGCTGGCCTCTAGAACCCGG